CAAAGAGTCTTGAAAAACGTCCCAGAGGTTCATTGAGAGACGACCAAAGGTTAATAATTCAGTCTTCACAGCAAAGGGGGGCTACTTTAAGGAATCTAAACTATAAATCATGTTTAAAGATCTTTTACAATTATTCGTTTTCCATCCTTCACTGTTTTGATGCCTTCAGTCAGAATCTACGTACAACGTAAATAGTCATAAACATAAAGAAAACCATGAAATGAGAAAGGCGTTCTAAAACTTTTGACCTGTAGCGTATGTGATACACAACTTGTAGTCGGTGCAGTATTATGAGGTACTGTGAGAATTTGTGGTTGAATTGCTGAGGTTTAGCTGCACTGGTGCAAAACAAGTCCAAATCAAGAACCCTCCACTGCCCTGTTTGAAAAAATAAACGGCATATGAGCACGAATAAATCATACCAACTGCCAACATATTCTGCTGTGCATTATGGTCAAACATTTCAACTTTCAGTTATTTCTTGGACAATCCCATATTTGTGCTCCAACTGTTCAAATACATCAAAGTTGTGGTTGAAGGGGCTGGACTTATGATTTAGCTCTAAATCAGTTGGGGTCATGGTTTAACTCTGTTTTTTTGTTTTGTTTTCTACTGAACTGAAATCGGTTTAAACTTGAGGTATCACAGGTTTCTGATCCTGTAGGTTTTCCTTCAAGCAGATCCAACCTCCTTGAACTCCTCCAGCATCTCATGGGAAGCATTAATGTATGTAAAATCTGAACTTTTGCCTCATTGGAATCTATTTTACACATCCAGCAAAGTCTTTTTTCCATTCATATTAACGCTTCGGCTTGTTTGTGTAAATTACAGACTGAGGTTGCTGTCCATCACTGGCCGTCGGCGTTCACACCCCTTTAATGAACGCTCTGCCTAATTTACCCTCGGCCGCTCGTCACAGACTGCTGGGTTTCTGCTCCGTCTCACGGTCCTGACCCTGTTGGGGTGGCGGTCGTCGTGTTCCGAATGTTTGGGTCATTGATTTTTATTTTGTGTCAGCTGATGGCAGCATCGTTAAATCTGACTTCTGACCTCTGATCGTTTGTTGGTGCCTGAACATTTCCCTCATTTCCCTTCTCTGCAATCTGCCAAACATTTCACTTCATTTCTACTCGCTCTGCTGTTCATCCTCTTTAATAATTTGTGGTTTCAGATCATTTTTGTGCTTGAATTTTAAGATAAACACAGACGAACCTTTTTAGTTTGAGTGAAATCTGTTGTTTTTCTTTCTCCAACATGATTCAGGTCAGATGTTCATCCCTTGGTTTCTGTATTTGAGTTTGTAAGGCCACACTTTGTTTCTTATTGACGCTGTTGACCTTTTGACCTGTTTGTGCTATAGTTTGTCATGTCCTCAGGAGATGTTTGACCTTTTTGTGTTTTTAATCTTGTCGACTCTGAGAACTGTTTGTTCTTTTGTGTCTGAAGGTCTTAAACTACAAGGAAACCTCCACAGTTCTTCTTTCTGTCCAATAAGTTTGGATCTAATCTAAATCTGTTTGGACCTGAGATCAACTCATTTTAATGGCTTTGCTGTGTGTAACAGTAGCTCAGTAATAAGAAAATATTGAAGTATGCAGAGGAATCAGTACCTTTATCGTTAAATGTTGTTAAATCTACAAGCTGGGGGGTATTAGGTACCTTAAAATCGAACCAGTCTTCCTCCACGGGTCATATATGGAGATTATATGTGTGTTTACATTTTTTGTATTATTTCTTTATAGTCAAAAGATAAAATATCCCAGGTCTTTTTCTTCCCAGAATCCTCTGTATCTTGTGGTTTGGATAAATATGTAAATAAGGAAATGCAATAAGGGAAAACATTCTTCCCAAAAGCAACCAGAGTTGCCATCCATGATGCCAACATACGTTTCCAGACGTTTACATCCATTCATCACAGACATGAATGTCATATTCACTTTGAGCTTTTAATTAATTATTTAAGCTGTTCTTATTCTAGGCTAAGGGGGAATAAACATACAAATGCAATAATTAGTTTTTATTAACAAGAACTGGAAGCACAGCTAAATTTATCCTGCCTTTCCTTTAATTCACACAGGGTCAAACTTAAATATGAAGGCTAAAATTAATGTGTTAAAAATATTTGGATAAATATTTGGTAGGAAGTTGCACCTCAACCCCATCAACAAGCTTCTGGCATCATTCTGTCTGGATTTTGGGTCAGTTCATTTAAATCGGTCGGTTCCTTGGATTGGCCTGACTTTTAAATGTAGTCCAAACATTTTCATTAGGCTGGGTTGTGTTTTTTAGGAATCATGGTGCTGTTGGCGTTTCAGCTATCCTGTTGATTTGAGATGAACTTGAAGACTTTAAGTGTCCTCCTTTTTCACATCTAGAGCATAACGTGAACAAGCACCGGCGAACGTTGGAAGACTTTTACATGTCTTTGTTTCTAGCAGGTCTCCAGGTCCAGTGATCAGGATGCTAAAGGACTAGAGGAGACAGAGTTTCTGTCGTTGTCCCCCAGACTGTGGAGCACTTTTCCCCTAAGCTTAAGATCTTTGGACTCGTGATCTTTCTTAAAAATAGGCACAGAAATCACCTTTTCAAACTTGCTGTTATGTAATTTCTTTGTCTTTGTACTTAATTTCTAATATATTTTTTCTTGCTTTACTGCCACACCCATTTCATTATTTTGATCTGAAATTTTACATTTTATGTATCTTACTCCATTGTCTGCGTTATGCATCAGAACCACTTGCAGCAATCAGGCCCCACAGCATGCTGCTGCCACCGCCATGCTTCACATTGGTAGGCTTGACGGCCTCACCTTGACACCTCCAAACGTTCTTCTCGTCATTGTGACCAAACGGCTGCATCTTCGTCTCGTGACCATAAATATTCTCTCCCCCTTCTCACCTTCTAGGCCCAAGTGAACAGAGATGCTGGTCCAGCAGTTCTTCCTGACATTCTCACCAATTTCCTTTCATCGAATGACAACGATTTGGGTCTTCTTTCACACCTTGACGAAGTTTAGACGCGTTTGAATTACTTGCTGTGGCACAATAAAGATAGGAGGATTAATGAGACCTGACCTAAAATATTGAGCAATGGGGGGACGTCTTTTACTGTGAATCAGCCTCACTTAGGAAAACGGCCTTCAATAAAAGGTTGGATTTATGGGTCTGTTTTACGTTAGTCGGGTGGTAGAACGGGTTTAATCGTGTTTTTTGTTTTATTTATTTTTGTGTTTTTAAAGTAAGTTTAGGAAAACATGTTCTAAGGTTTTTTTTTCTTAACGTCTTTTTTACAGTTTAGGTTTAAGGTAAAACTCTCTGCTCTTAATTTTTATTTAAATTTCAAAATTCTGGAAAAGTTTGAAATATTTTTAGGATCTTTGAACTCGTGTGGAAACAAATCTTGGTGGGCTTCAACGTTTAGACATTAGAGGTCTGGAGGGGTCTCGTTGTGGGCTGCACAGAGCTGCAAAAGGAGTTTGAATTTTTCTTCTCTTCTCCACAACATGTTGCCTCTTTTAAGGAAGCAAGTTGTGCAAAAACCAGGTGAACCTCCTGAACGGCAGGTCTAATGCAAAACTGAGCTGTATAATCCATCTGCTTCTGTTTGTTCGTAGGTGAAGTGATAAAAATCAACATGTGGAGGATGCTGCTGTGCGAAGCCACAGCCGCCATCATGGCCAAAGGCTTCGACATCCTGGGCATCAACCCCGTCCAGAGGATGTGATCCAGGCTTCCTCCCGCTTCACCTGAAATAAGCGTTCTGACTCAACTCACAGGACTGTGACTCCTCATTAAATCTATTAAATCAAACCGTATCGACAGACAATGTTAAGGCTGGTTTAGTAAATATCTCATGTGAAGGATCTTTTTTTTTTTAATAAAGCTCCATTCTGAAACTGAAACGTTTCCTGTTTTGCTGTTTAACTGATGAACTTTCTGCAGAACAAAACTGTGAAACATCTCTCCTCGTTTCACATCAGGTGTGAAGAGTTGCAGATTGCAGTTCATTCAGGTTCAGTTTAACCCTGGAGCTAACACCTGGATAAAAGCATTCAACTGAGAGGGTTTGCTTTTTACACCTGGGGAAATGGCCAACTGAAGGCTCGCCCAACACCTGCCTGACTTAAACTAAACACACAGAGCAGCTTTGGTCCTTTTTATTTTTGGTTTTAACCCCAGGTGTAGCTCCAGAGGCTGTTAAATCTCACGCCATTACCCAGATAGATCAGAAGGTAAATTACGCCTCTCCCAGATACCAACCACTGCTCTGAAGTTACCTTCCAGTTTGGTTCAGTAAAGGGCTATTTGACCACCTTTTATAAGCTCTGGTTTGAAGTCTAAAATACTTGGAAAGGTCAAACATAGATTGAATTATTCTGCGCTGATTTAAAAAAAAAAAAAAAAGCTTCAAACCCAATTTGGGATCAGTGAAGCTTTATCAGGAGCATTTTGATGCTTTATGGGTCAAAAGGCCATCTTTGAATTGGAATAAGTTTAAAAACCACAAAACTGAAAAAACGTGGACTGACCGGCATCAACACCACCTTAAATGGGGTCAGTCGCTACACTTCAGACTAGGACTTTATTCTACCCAGATTTGTGTCTTTATCATACAAATAACTTTATGAAAGTATCTGCCTTTAGTTTTGAAGAATCCAGTCCAGGTTTGACTAGACGAGTGCTGCTGTTTTTAAGCTGGATCACATCTAAGATGGTCTTGTCACAGATCAGTTGATTTTTGGTACTTAAAACCTTAAACTAACACACTGAGGTTCTAAAGTTGCATTAGTTTTTTGGTCAGACTTTTACTAGTTACTAGACTTTTACTAGCTGTGCTGTTACAACATAACTAGTCTAATTCCTCCATTTGCCTTGGAATTTCTATATTGTAATAATGAAGCATTCTTCTTGTAGTTAGAATTACATTTTTCTGAATTCCCAGTTGGTAAAACAAGAACTGATGTCAAAAGTCTGAGTTTAAGAATCAAATCTCCAGGCTGAACGGTGGTGCAGTTGGTAGCACTGTTGCCTTGCAGGACGACGGTCCTGGGTTCGAATTCCATGCAGGGGTCTTTCTGCATGGAGTTTGCATGTTCTCCCCATGCATGCATGGGTTCCCTTTGGGTACTCCGGCACACTCCCACGTCAGTGGTTAGGTATGAGTGCATGTGTGCATGGTTGTGTGACACTGTCCATTGGGCCTCTCGCTCAATGACTGCTGGAGATGGGAACCAGCAACCCTGCAACGACAAACTGGTATAGGCGATGGATGAGCTGCCACACATGTAACACATTAAGTTGGAGGTGTCCACCTCATAACTGAAGTATGTACTTTTGTAGCTAATTATATGGTCTTTAAAAATTTGGACACCCTGTTAAGTATTCTTTCATGAAAATGTTAACCTACTAATGTCTAATTTTTATTTATTTATCTCTAGAAAAGTACTTGCCAGCATGTACCTTGTTTTACTCATTAGACAAAATATACAATCAAGTTCCAGCTATAGAAGAACACCAACTTTCCTGTGAAAGTTTACTCCAGGGTGTTCAAAGGGAGTCCGATCGTCAAACATCTGGTTCAGGAGCAGGAATGTAAATGAGGTGAATAAGTATTTGCTGAATTGTACATGATGTCAGCAGCCTGAGCCTAAATTGTCATCTGCAACGCTCCGCCATCTAGGAGAAGTTTTCTGGTTTGCTGCTATGTCCTCTCTAGCTTCTGAATGCAGCAGGAACCAGTTTGAAATTGCTAAGAAGGGTCCCTGGAGTTCGGTTTTCTGGTCTGCATGTTTTGTAGATCCGTGTAGATCCTTATAACACTTCGCCTGAGGCATTTTGTGAGCTGTGATGTGGGAGTTTGGGGTGCCAGTGATGCTCTTTGTCTTTTTGCGGATGATGTGCTTAATTTGGCATCCTAAGGCAATGACCTTCAGCAGCTACAAGTAGAGCTGCTGCTCCTCAGCATCAAAAGGACCAAATTGAGGTGGTTCAGGCATCTGATTAGGAGGCCTTCTGGACCCATCCCTTTGGAGGTTTCAGGACACATCCCACTGGGAGCAGTTGCCAGAATTCACTGGAGGGACTGAATTTCCTGTCTGGTCTCGGAATGTGTTTAGATCCCACAGAATAAACTGGGGAGTGTTCGCTTCCAACTGTGCCACCCATACAGAAACCAGTAAAATGGAAAACTTCAATCAGAAACATTTAAGAGTTAGAATGAGTAAGAATCGATTTTCATCCAATGCAGCTTGATTCTTATGCGTCATTTCCGTGTTTCTCAACCCTGGTCCTCAGGGCCCATTGTTCTGCATGTTTTAGACGCGTCTCTGCTCCAGGATACCTGAAGCAAATGATCGCATTATCCCTCAGCATGTTAATCACACCTGCGGTGTGGGAGCAGGGAAACGCCTAAAACATGCAGGACAGTGAGCCTATTTATAAGTGAAAAAAATACACCGCTGGATTTTTATCTTAAAAACGTAAATGGCTGAATCCAAAGCTTCCCATCAGTCGCCATGATGGGCTTTAATTTGTTAACTGGTTCTAACGCTGCATTAAAAACTAGTTTGACCTTCCGAAGTAAAACATGGACGCCATCTTTCGACCAGCAGCGCAGCAGAACAAGGTAAGAAACGCAAATGTTTTACTAGATATTGGGGTTCCCCTATGATTTTTTTAAAATCCTAACTTGTGAGGTGTCTAACGGGGAATTGTAACTTTTAAAACCTTTACTTTGACGCTTAACAGGTTAGCAAGCTAACGACCGTTAGGGTGGATACGAAAGCTTCAATGTCGGTTAAAAACAACAGGAACATTTGTGTAACGAAAAACGACGCTTAACTGGACCAACCGTCAGTATTCGCTAACATTTAGTTGTCGAAGCCCCCGATAGCTAAACGCTGCACGGCTAGTTGTTGGATACGTTACCTCCGCCGCCATATTGGAGCGGGTGTACTTGTCAGAACTGTGGCATAAATGCACAGAGGAAATATCCTTTCAGGAGCCGCATACAAATGTGAACAATCTGGAAACTTGTGGTATTTAAGTGTTCTCTAGATGGAAATATTTGTTTCTATCTGAACTGCTTTGCTGGGCTTTTTGCACTAGTTGTAAACAAAAGAGGCACCGTTTTCACAACCCTCTGAGGTTGTAGTTATTTTCCTTTGACAGGAGAAAATGTCTTTTAGAGATTGCATATACTGTATTAGTGTGTATTACTGCTGGCGAATAAAACAATTCCGATAATTTATCAAGAAAAAGAAAAAGTCAGTAACGATAAAGGCCAACTTTAAAATTCAATTACTCTGATAATACATGCGGCCTAACAGGCGGTACGTGGTCTCACCATTATTTTATCATTTTTAAAACATTAAGAGCTTTTTTGCACTTTTCAACAGTACTGCAAATTTCGTACGTCATTTATTGCTTGTTCATAAAAGTGTCATTAATCTATGAAGCCCTGTAATTCTAAGGGATTCATTGTTTACTTTGACAACTTTTAAAAATAAATCTTTATAAGTTATTAATGTTTTATTACCTATTTTAACTTTTTTAAGTTTGCATTGAAACCGATACTGTCTTAGAGCCTAGACTTCAATTTGAAACAGTATCATTATGGGATCCATTCAGTACAGGAACAAATATCTCCTGATACATAATTTGTCCATATCGCCCAGCTCTGTTGTTTTTGTTCATGGATGCCATTAGTAACTTCAATGCTCGCCACACATAAAACATGGTCATGAAATAGAAAAGCAAGATTGTTCTTTTTTTTTTTTTTGGCAAAGTTTAAAAGAAAATCTATTTTGCTCTTTAACAGTTGGTAGATTTACATTATATGAAAAACAAAAAGTATCTTCACCTGGTGGGAAATAATACAACATGAAATGTTTAAAGGGGTTTCATCACAATGCAATTAATGGAAAAACCAAAACAACAAATTAACTTGGCAAAAGTAGCGTATTCAAAAATGCTTTTTGAATGGGTGTTAAGGACCCAAAAAAGCGACAAATTGACATGGACTGTTTATATGTATAAAAAATATCCATAAACTTCACTGTGTTTTAATGAGAAGGAAAATGATGCATGATTTTCAATCTTTTTTCTTCTTCTTTTTAATAAATAAAAATCTGAAAAGTGTGGCTTGCCTCTGTATTCAGACAGCTTTGAGTCAACACACCTTTTGCTACAAATCAAACTGTAAGACTTTTTGGGTATATCTACCAGCTTTGCACATTTTGAGGTGAAAGTTTTGTAGACTTTGACTAGACCATTCCAACACAGTTAAGCTTTGATGGAAACCATTGCATTGTAGCTCTTCCTGCATGGATGGTGAACCTATTCCTCGGTCTTAAATGCTGTCCAGCTTCTAGCAGGTCTTTGTCCAATCAGCTTTGAGCAGCTTCCTTGTGCCAACAGAAGAAAATCATCCCCACAGAATGATACTGCCATCACCATGTTTCACTGTGAGGATGGTGTATTCGCGTGATGTGCAGTCTTTAAGTTTCCCAGCACACACACAGTTTTGCATGTAAGCGTGAACGTTCAGTATTGGTTTAATCTGACCAGAGCATTTTCTCCCATGTTTGCTGTCAGTGTAGAGGGGTGAATACAAATGCCAACTCATTATTTTCTTTAGAATTTCAGTCAGTCAGTCATTTTCTAGCGCTTCATCCATAGTGGGTCGCGGGGGAGCTGGTGTCTATCTCCAGCAGTCTACGGGCGGGAGGCGGGGTTCATCCTGGACAGGTCGCCAGTCCATCGCAGGGCAACACACAAACAACCATGCACACACATCAGCAGTTTTTTAAAGAATGTGGGATTTGTTTCCTCGTTTGTTACCTGTATGATGGTAGAATTTGCAGTAGTCTTGACTTGATGTTAAAATTAAAAACGAGTCATGTTTATATAATCCGTGATATTTTTCTCTTTATAGCACCCAGTTTATTCACCTTTTTCTTTTGTGGTGAAATCGGGAAACATTTTAATGTTGGGTTTGAACAACTGACCTCAGATCTGTTATTTTTTCTGCATCCACTCTGCTCTTTTTTGTCTCCCCACTTCCTTTCCTTTATTTGCAAAATTCAGACATTTTTCATAATCTACAAACTTCAGCAGTTGTAAAATGCATCAACGGTCTGCACACAGGGGCCTAAACGAATTAGTAAAAATTGTTTGCTTGCATTTAAACTAATTGCTTTTTCCAGTACCGTCCTCCCAGCCCAATCTGCATCCCAGTCTCTGATGTACAGAAACTCATGTTTGACTTGGGGGGGATTTTAGATAAAAAAAATAAATAAGATGCAGTTTTCCTCCTGCAGGACTTTGAGAATAGAAGCTTTGTTAGCAGAACTTCATAATGTGAGGCAGACAATCCTGTTCCAAATTAATTATAAATCACAGGCACTCTGAGGCTGCCTGGAAGACACTAATTGTTCAGTCTGCTTCTGCCACCTGACAGTGTTACACTTCCACTCATATTAAAGTTGCATGAAGCTGTGATTAAGAAGTCACACAGTCGTCGTTTAGATTTCTTCAGGCTCATGAAGTATCTACACCACCATGTGTCCCAGGACCTTATAGCTGATCTCAGGACCTTTGGCAGCTTCATGAAACATTCACTGGGCTTTCAAAGACCTATGTTGGGTTTTAATTTGGCTTCTCTGTGCTGCAGTTTGATGGTTTCCTCTTTCGGGAGGATGACCACGGTGCCCATCCGTCGCGACCTGTGGAAGCAGAAGCTGAGTGGATGGAGACGAGGATGCTGGCTGAGATGAGGAAGATGGAGCTTTCTGGGACCTCCTGGTGATGCTGTTGAGAGCAGAAGGTAAATACAAATGTTAATTAAACACATTTCTTGAAAGGTCTCACAGTTTGTTGAAATGTCAAAGCCGCTTTCTGTTGAGGCTTCAGGTGACATTTTGTCTGATGGCCAGTAGGGGGCGACTCCATGAAGTGCAACTGAAATGAATTTAATGGCACCGTTTGTCAACACATGTCAACGTTTGTCTCATTTTTAGCAACTAGACGTTCACTGATTGCAGTTTTGTGCACCACCTTAAGTAGGGCGTAA